AGGGAAAGAAAAACTGAGACAGAAAAAGGCTGCAGGCAAGATGACCTCCATGATATCAGAGTCTGCACAAATGGCTGGGAAGCCAAATTCTTGCTCAACTGTTCACCGTTGCAGGCATGGAATCATGAAAGAATCTTTCTAGGATCTCAGTATCACCTAGGGTTTGGATTTCTCTGTGTGGCACCCTGGCATCCTCGGGAGACATGGATGGGCCGTAGGTGGCCTGAAAACATGAGGTTTGGAGGCAATCTGTGTGTGTATCATCACAGATCTCTGCAGATTGGTGGCCATGGGTTTGCAATACACATGCTGGTCACAATCCTTACGTCTCCTGAGTGAATGTCACCTCTTCTCTCTGGCAGGTGGGTCATCAAAGCTGACACTAAGTGCACAGACTATTCCCATCACCTCAAATTCTCCTACTAAATCTTCCAACCCAAGGCCTAACTGAAATCCATTAGGCGAACAGTACATGGAGAAAAACACTACCTATTTACTGTAGTGACAGAAATTAGTCAGGTCAAAGCCCTGAAAAATACAAATTTGTTGGATAAGCTTATTAATCAATCTTCTAAAAAACCAAACCAGAACTCACTTTCAAAGTCTCTTTTCCACCTCCTTGGGCAAAACACACAATGGGGATCTTGCCACCATAGTTGGAATCTGTAAAACATGAAAAGCAAAGCTTATGTTGGGCTCAATGGAAGTATGCTCAGCCAGCTCAAAGACAGAGAAAGTATGTGCCACTGAGGTGGTGAATAAAGGCCTTCATTCCTCTGCGGCATGCTCGCCCTTGAAACCAGTGTTTTAGGCGCAGAAGTAACCAAGATGCAAAAAAAGCAAACCATTAGGTTGTTAACCCAGTGTGTTTATTTCACCACTTCAACCCTACCTAATGGCATTGCCTTATAAACTCCTACCTGTTGTAGTAGATTTTATTTTTTCTCACATGATGTCTAGCAGAAGAGACCACGGTCTTTCTAATACTGACAAACCAGAGTGGAAGAGGCATTTGTCATGGACTTTGGCAGGTTGTACACCTCACAGTGACCCTGGCAGAAGCAGTTCTAGTGTTTTGAAGAAAGAAGAGAAACAACAGCTCTTCTTTGGCAGTAAAAACACCTCATCGGTGGGTTTATTATCGTGCTGCCCTCAATAATTGGTAGCTGGTGGCTGTGCTGCAGCTGCTGTTTCCATTGTGCCATGTCTAATGTTCCAGCTCCCAAATACTGACCTGGAATGGTGAGCTCGGAGATGTACTTCTCCAGCTGACTCCGCAGCTTTGCCTCAACTGCGGCATGTCCGTGACAGCCATTGTCCACAAGCAGCAGATGAGTGTGGTTGTTGTCCAGGATATACAGGGGGTCTCTCGTGAAGTCATCCATTATGTACTGGGCTAAGAAACATCCCTGAAAAGTATAGGGAAACTTGTCTTTGAGGTTTGTTTGTTGGCCAAGATACATGGTGACAATTTTATATGTTCGTATTAAAGCTAATCCATGGGTTCAGTTCCATTGATGACTCCTCCCAGATTCCAAAATTCAGGAAGGTCTTAGACATTTCCTAAGGACAGGCTTCATTTCAAATGTAAGGAAATAAAGGTTCAAAATGATTCTGATTCTGACTGTGTCTTGACAAAGGGGTTGCAAATTTGAAATGAAAAAAAAATACATGGTAATGCTCAGAAGATTTTGAAAAAACAAGAATAATCATTAGAGGCTTTAGCTATATTTTTAATGCATATGTAATGCTACGGTAAATTTTTTTTTTTTTTGAGACAGAGTCTCAAGCTGTTGCCCTGTGTAGAGTGCTCTGGAGCCATAGCTCACAGCAACTTCCCTCCAACTCTTGGGCTCAAGTGATCCTCTTGTCTCAATTTTTCTATTTTTAGTAGCTATGGAGTCCCGCTTTTGCTCATGCTGGTCTCTAACTTGTGAGCTAAAGCAATGCACCGCCTCAGGATGCCTGAGTGCTAGGATTACAGGCGTGAGCCACCGTGCCCAGCCAATGGTACAGTAATTTTGGAAGGGTAGTACTAAGTCAAGAATAAACAGATGATAGAAGATGAGAAAAAACCCTGAAAGAGATCCCCAAATTTTAGTGTTTGTGAAATGTGACATTGTTTCAAGTCAGCTAAATTTGGGTCCTAGTAAGCCCTGTGGACCAGTGCCAGGGTTTCATAATAAAACCCTGAGTAGAAACCACATAGTTAAGAAATGGCTAATAGAGGTATTGTGAACAACTCTGCCTTCAACTTCTGCAAAAGACCAAACACTATTGTTCAGGGAAGAGAGTAAAGAGACAGGAAGCTAACCACAGTCCATACAAGTTTCTGTGAAACTACTCCAAGTCCCTAAAGATTAGCTTAACAGAAACATCAAAGAATAGAAACTAGCACTACAATTTGTCTCCAAAAATAATGTCAACTATAGCATTTAAGACAAATGCAGAAGCCAAGAGAAAAATTAAAGATCATGCTTAATTCTACAACCCCAGGAGAGTTACCATCAAGATTTTAGCCTATTCATTTCTTTGCTAGGAATGTTTTTTGTTAATTTTATATTTAAAATTATAAGTATTTCCCATACCTGCACTATCAGAACACCTTTGGGAATAGCTTTTTCTCTCATGTTTGTATAGCAATCTAGCTGAAGGTTTTCCTACCACAGACACAGTACTCTATACTATTTAGATGTATGCCAATTCTTGGCTATTATAAGAAATATTTTAATGAAGATCTCTGTACAAATGTTAAATTCTTCAGTGGTGTCTTTGTAAGTATGAAGTATGATTACTGGACCCACAGCACCAACAGACTCATGCTCTTGATACATATTTCCAAATGGCTTCCTAGACAGAACACACATTTGCTCTTGCTCTAGGAATTTATGAAGACCTGTTCTTCTGCATGTGTTAGAAGGCTCTCAATATTTTTTAAAATTAACAAATTAATAAAAGATTTTTTAATTGCCCTGTGAAATAATCTGACCCAAAGCAATTTGGGAGATCATTTTTCATTTCTCTTTAAACTCAGTCAGTGATAATCCCACTAGTCAGTCTTTCTAGTTCTTGAATCAGTTTTGGAAAATGATAATTTTACAGAAAAACATCAGTTCTCATGAGATTTTCAAATTTATTGACATGCCAGTATTTGTAGCATTCTCATATTTTTCTTAATATCTACTGTCATGTTTAATTTCTCAGTTTTATTCCTTAAACAAAACCATTAGCTATTTTAAAGAATAAAAAATGCTTCTTTTCTTTCTCATTTTTATTTTTTAATTATTTATTTCTGATGGAATATAATTTTTTTCCTTTCTCCATAGTTGTGTTGGTGATGTTATTTTCTGAACTTATTAATTTGAATGCTATCATGCTTAAAAGATTGTGAGGCATGGATCTATCACTTACTAAATATGCAAATTAGGGAAGTTTCTCATTCTATCTATGCCTCAGTTTTTTCATCTATAATGAGAGTAGTAATGGTAGTACTTGTCTCATGGGTGTATTGTGAAAATTAAATGAGTTAATATAAGCAAAACACTTAGAATAGAATCTAGTACATAGTAAGTGCTATTAAATGTTAGATATCATTACTAAGATTATTGAATTATTTATAAACTTTATTTTTACTATTAAATGCATATGGCTATGCATTTCCCCGTGAATGCAGCTTTGGCCATATATAACTACTGATAGATGTTCACATTTATTATTCTGAATATATAATATTTTTATTTGCATTACTTTCTAAGTGATATAAAATTATGTTTCTTGAAGTTCATTCATGGCCCAATATTTGTTTACCAGATAATTGGCTGGTTGTTTTTTAATTTTCATATAATCGTCACTTTCTCTTAATCTTTACATTTTCATTGCAATTTTACTTGTTGCCACAAAATGTGCCCCCATGAACAGTCTCCAGGGAAATAGTGAAGTCTTTGTTCCAATTCAAGGGTAAAAATGACTACTTTCAGGGTTCTTTTTGTCACTCTGTGGATTAATACATGTACTATATCCACACCCAAAATGAGAACTTTACAACACAAAATTGACTCCCACACCCATGACCAACCTTGCTAATAGTTAATATTAATATTCTTATTGTTGTTATTACTACTATATGGTATTATAATATTTCACACCCAGCCTATTACTGTCCTCAAAATCCTACTCCAGGCTGCTCTCATCCCTGAAGTTGGCATTTGATGAGAGACCGTTTTGCCATTTCTTATTGAGCGTCTAGCAGTAAAAGCTACTCTCTGCAATGACATAAATCTACCCCCTATCAGTACAAGGTTATTATTTTTAAAAAAATACTGAGAGAAGGGATTGGCTCAAGACTACGCAGCTAGAAGCAGTGGTCACTCAAACTGGGCTTTCTGTCTCCAAAACCCACCTTCCTTCCTCTTCACCAGGCTGCTTCCTTGGAGATGCATAAGGATTACCTCCCACTCTCCGCTAACCCTTCACAGATCTCAAAAATGGTAACAAGGACACTGAAGCAAAACAATTTAGAAGAAGAACCACAGCAACTCCAAAAATCCTGAACATTTGTTGTCTAAACTTCTCAGGAGCTCCAGATGGGAGAAGGTGCAGATTAAATTTGGATTTCCTAACATTTGGTCCCAAGCTTTTGGGAAGAGAACACCTGTTGCTTAGAAGGTCCTTGACTCACTAGAAATGTTGTTTTTGAAAGTCCATACTTGATACAAAACTCCATATGTCTACCTTGTATTTTTAACATGAAATGCTCATTACTCTCTAAATATGTACACATGAAACAGTTGGCAGGGGGAGGGGGAAGACCAAATTAACCAGGAACCATAACAATGGACTTGAATTCTGTGAGTGTGGCCAAGCAATCAAGGCATTTTGGCTGGGCTTGAGCTCTCCCAAGATGAATATAAGTCTTGCTTATCAAGAATGCTGAGAATGAATTTTACAGAACAAAATGCATTCAATAATAACTCCTTCCCAGGGGTTCCTTATGTATGTCATCTTTGTTTTTAATTCCTGAGACCCCGAAGGTATTCCTTCTAGGGCAGACTTCCCCATAGACAGACTCCATCTCAGAGCCCCAGGGTTCAGGCCACAGTCCCTGTCACAACCTTCCTTCCATGTTACCCTGCAGAACTCCACCTGCCCCTCCTGTACCTCAGCATCACAATTCCTGATGAGGGTGTCTCGGTTGGAGACCATGCCCCAAGCTGCTATGCCAATGGCAACGATGTTCTCCTCTGAGTTCCTGCTGATGGTGTTGTCCCTCACCACCTCCCCGATGTACTTCATCAGGCCGTAATGGGTACCCCCTGTGAGAATCCAAGCACCTGTCAGTGAGCAAGAAGAGCAGATGTTCAGCTGGGAAAGGCCCCCATCCCGTGCTCAGGGACACCTAAGGAAGGGCCCACCCAATAGGGACCAAGGACACAGCCAGCATTGGCAGTTATGCTTTGAAAAGGCCTTGTCTGTGCTGTATGGCAAGGAAGGAAAAGGGGACCGTAGACAGCATTTCTGAGAAGTGGTCAATAAAAATACTGATTTGGGGCCCCACTCCAGATCTCTGGGAGGTGGGGCTGGGGGGGGGGACTCTTTTGTGGACAATGGCTAGACTGACTGAGCTGCAAAGCAAGTTAGGCAGTGCCACTGTGGAAAGTTAGATATCCTGCTCCAGACACCACAGAGTGGAGCCTCCTGGATGGCCCTGGGACTAATGATTTTGCTTTACTTTATAATGGCATGACTTCACTGGCCTTTTTAAGGTTTATATTTGATGATCTTCTCAATGCCAAGGGTTTTGTTAGAGTTTTAACTTTTTTGGAGCAAAATAGAAGTAAAAAAATACCTACAAAAATATTACATAGCATAATACTATAATCTAAAGCTGAAGTCAATGACTCATTCAGAGGACTAAAATAGAAACAGTTGGAAATGACCTCAGTGTAATCCCCCACCAAGGGCAGTCACCAGCCTCTCTGGATCAGCTCTGGTCCTGGGAGCTTCAGGAATTTCAAAGCAGCACTTTGCTGCAATCCCTAGAAAGCACTTTTCTTGGCTATCTCCATTCTCTCATTTTTTAACTGTCCTCAGCAATGAAGAACCAGTTTAGTCATCTCCATATCAGAGTTCTTCTGATATTTTTAGTTAAATTCGATGTGGCCCTCAGAAGTTTCATACCCACTTCTCTCAGCCAGTTCTCATGGGACATAACTCCAGCACCCAGTCTCATTCGTCTAGACAGATTTCAGCCCCTCAATGTTCCCCTGTAAGGTGAAGCAACCAGAAGTGAAGGTAGCACTCCACCTGGCCGCCACAGGGGACAACGAGACCATTTACTGCTGCTCTCACCCCTCAGTCACCTACGTAGAAACAGACAGGCCACTCCTCCAGGCCAGGGACTTTTGTCTGTTTTGTTCTGTTGTATTTTCAATATCTAAAACAATTCCTGGCACATAGGAGGCATCCAGTGTTTATTGAATGAACAAACGATGTGTCTACGGGATTTAGTAGTAAGGAAGTTGAGTTACTAATTTCATAACAAAGAGACAACCCACAATGGACTCCTCTGGTTGGTCAGGAAATTAAGAATAAAAATAAACTGGACTGACTTGGCATCAGGGAATGGAGGAAGGAGCTAGAAGATATGGGAGAATTTTTCTGGAAGATTTTTTAAATTCTAACTTTAAAAAAGAATAAAAATAAAAAACTCAGTTTCTTCTTGACATTAACAAAAAAAATCATATATGAAATGTACTTCCTTAGTTATATTAGTCAGTATTATTTATTTATAAAGAAGTTTTAAAAAAATTTAAGCTTAGATTTTAAACTGAACCTAATTTTGAGAAAAGAATCAAACCCAAATGGAGGGCCAGTCTACAAAGCAATTGGCCTATACTCTTCAATAATGTAGTGAAGGACAAAGAAAGGCTAAAAACCGGTTCTGGAGGTCAGAAAATTAAAAAGATAGAAAAAGCTAAACAGATTTGGAGTCTAAATGAATAAAAAGGAATACTTGCTCTAAAAAACATTGGTGGAATAATTAGCAAAATTTGAGAATGAACTGTATTGGTCAGTAGGAACTGTCCCAGGTTGGAAATCACATTGGCTTATGTGAGAGAGCACCCCATAGTCAGGAGATGCAGTCATGCACTCCGGTGTTCAGGCTCATGACCTCTGCAACACCCTTTCAAATGGTTTCTAAAAACAAGTTATACTATGTGGATACTTACGGAACAAGATAATACAAATGGTGGAAATGTTAACAGTTGGTGAATCAAGGTGAAGAGTGTACAGACTTTCATTGTATTATTCTTCAATTTTTTTGTAGATACGAAATTTTTTAATGAAAAGTTAAAAAAGAAAGAAAACACTAACTGAATTTTTGTTTAAAAACACGTGTCCATCAGACACGTACACGCTTACAACCTGCCAGGGACCGTTACTATTTCCAAAAGTGCATTACTGATCTCAGAATTACAAAGCAAGCAAATTAAACTGTCCTTTTCAATTCCCCACAATGGAAATTCTCGGGAAAATTTTATATGTGTAAATAACAAAATGTAAACATTAGAAAATTAAAAAATAAAATCCAACCGACCCAAAGAAGCATCTTAACGCCAATTTAAAGACTTACTTTGGGAAACCTCCCACACACCTGCCAGAGCGCCCTGTGTGTCCATTTATCCCAGGATGCCGCTCTAGGAAAAATGTGCCCTGCAGGTGGCAGCACCTGGGCTCTGCGCGGAGACCGCGCCCCGCCCCCCCTGCCCTCTGCGCCCGCCGCGCCCCGCCCCTTCCCCCGCCGCGCCCCGCCCCTCGCGCCACACCCTTGGTCTGCGCGATATAGATGAGGCGGCTGATGATCTTGCGCATGCGCGGCTTCAGTGCAAAGTTCTTGGCCCCGCCCGTCACGGAGATGACCAGATTGGGCGTCCTCAGGTGCCAGTGTTGAGTCAGCAGCTCGTAGAGGGGCTCTGCGTCCGTGTCAGAGGACAGGCGGATGTACTGTGGGAAGAGAGGAGAGCGCCCGGGTCGACTTGGGATCTAGGAGCCGAGGGAAAGTGGGTGCATCGTGGGGCCCTTGCTGAGGCCTGCGGGGAAGGGAAGCAAAGCAGCGCACGCGGCCCCGCCGCCTGGCTGGGGGGTCCCGGGGCTCTACCCTAAGGGCACAGACCGCAGAGGAGGGGGCTGGGCCACCCTTCCTGGCCTCCATGGTAGGGCTTGGGAATGCGAGGGGATGCGAGGTCAGTGGCAGTGACGGTGCTGGCACTAAACAGGGGATACCGAGGATGTAAGTAGAGGCTCTCTCCGTCATCAAACACTTTTGCAGATCCCTGCAGGTGGCGCGTCGTGGGTGTGTAGAGAACACAGCTCAGGGCCCTGTGTTTTTGCTCACAGAGGCAGTCTAGGATGGGTGGTAATCCCGTCCTCACCTGTGGAGTTTTCCAGTTTCTAATCTCACCTTTTTCTGCAGTCTTTGTTGGCATTAACTACCTCTCTTTGCCTCCACCCTGACAATCGCATATGAATTCCTGAGCCCAAGTACAGAGCTGTGGCCACTGCTTACCTTGCCTTTCTTTCCCAGACTCTCAAACTGAATATCCCCAAAGGCGTCGGTGGGAAACTCCTTGGTGTGTTTCTTGTAATTCCATTTTTCATTTTGGTTGATCTGGGTGCCTTCTATGTGATGGCTCTGGGCATAGCCACACTTGCACACGCTTTCCCTGAGCACAGGGATGTGGAGAGGAAGAAGGGGATTTGATTTCATTAAACCTACTTGTGGAAACCAGGCATTATTAGCTTAACGAAATGACACCATCAACTCTTATTTGCAGACCATTTTCATTGTCTAGCTTGTGTAGAAACTATTTTGTTGTACTTTATCCCCGATGTTTTTTGTCTAGCCGCTTACATGCCGGCTCTGTGCTGAGAGGTGAAATTGAGCACAGGGCCCTGCCCTCATGGAGCCTAATGTGTGAGTGGCCATGAGGCTGCTATGCCGCTGAGCCTCAGAAATCTGGAACCTGTTTATCCAGCATCTCACAGGGTTTGTAATGCGTAGGAGCCCTGAGCACCAACCCTGACAGTTTGCCCAGCTGGTGGTGCAGGTAAGGTGAACCCTCCTTCCTGTGGGCTGACCTGACAGTGGAGACACCCCCTGGCAGGGAACCAAAGTGTCCCAGAGTTTAGAGGGACCATCCTTTTCGTATTGGACATTAGCTGCTTGGGGGACTTTCAATAATTTGAGCTAGACAAGAACAAAGTGCAATAAACAAATGCTGGTTCTCCTCACTAAAAGTGCAATAGAAGCTACATTTGTCTACTAGAAGACACATATACAAGATAGGAAATTGGAAGAAGATAAAAAGACACAGTAAGTGATGAATCCTCTTACCCTGCTCCTTCCCCAGCCTACTCTAATCACTATGCAGATATTGACTGACAATCCCCTGAGTTGGAACTGGGCTGCACTTCACAGCACCCCAAGATTAGCTGGGAATGATCCCTGCCCTTCAGTTGCTCACATTCTCTTGGGAACAGCTAAGGATGACACCTGGCACAGCACACAAAGAGCAAGCAAAACACCTCCTTTCCTCCCCCACAGCCCCTCTCCTCTCTGCGCCCCCATGAGTGCTGGGAATGGTGCAGAGCATCTCACTGGGCCTCTTACATGGTGCTTGATCCATTAAGGTGACTTTTAGGTTATGGTGGCACCATAGATGCAAATTAGGAATAGTGAAGGCAGAGACAACAGGAAGAAAATAAAACAAACAAAAAAATCAAACACAGGGCATCCTGAGTGTCCTGGTCTCCAAAGAGATGAACAACAAAATGAAATTCCAGTGTAGCCAAAACACAACTCTCTCCTAGGGAGGCCCTGGTCACCCTCCTCCCAGCCCCTTTCTGCCTGGCCCACCTACTTGGCTCTGCACCTCTCCCTGGTGTCTCTCTAATCAGTCTTTGGACAGGCTTCAGAAGGATGCTAGGAATTCAAGGGGGGAAGGGGGAGGGCTAGTGAAGAAAGACAGAGTGTTCTGTCCTGAGGGGGATGGAGAGTAGAAAAATGGGTGACATGTTTGGCCACTGAAACAGGCCCGAGAGTAGGAGATTTACTGAGAACAAAGGAACAATGGATCGAGAGAGAGCTATCACATTTGGGTGACCTGATCTGCTCAGGACACTTCTCACTTTACACCTGTTCTCTAAGCTCTGGTACATCAGTGCCTCTGTCTATTGGTGTCCCAGGTCTCACAATAAACTATGTAGGAAATATTTTATTTATAAAATATTTATATTTTATATAAACATAAATAATAAAATATTTATATTAAAATATAAAAAATATTTTTTATAAAAAATATTTTATCCCACAATAAAATACCTTTACCACTAGTCTACCAGAAAAAATACCCCTTTAGGCCAAGGTGGACCTGTACCACAGTGCAGGAACAAGTCACAAGATTCAATCCTCACTCAGCCCCAGCATCCTTGTGCAGTGCCCAGCCCAGATAACCAGGTATGGTCACCCTGGAGCAAGGACTCCCTGGACAGACTGAGCCAAATAAAGATACACAAACTGAGGAAACCCTGTTAAACTTTGCTTTCAGCTGCACTCAATCTTCTATTTTCTGTTCCAATGTCCCTGGCACCTAAGAGTATTCAGCAAATAGCCTTTGAATGAATGAACATCTGAGTGAATGAATACATTGATAGCTTTTCCTGTAAGGCAGTTTGTATTCTAATCCATGCTCAGTGATTTTTGTAATGTGGGTGAGCTTCAGTATACATAACTGTCATGACCAAGGAAGGGCTGTATTCACCGTTGAGCTTCTTTGACACATGACAAAATGTAGTTCTAAAAGCACTGCATTGCAGTAGATCACATTTTCACTTACAAGATGCTAATAGTGAAAAGCATTTCTATAACCGTTTACAAGATACGATAGGAGCCAAACTAGTAGCTTTGGAGGCAAGTTTTATGACCACTCCAGAAGCAGATGGATTCCAGACCAAATTGTGGCCAAGTTTTTACTGTCTAGAAGCCATTGACTTCCATCATGTTTCTTGGGCCTAGAGTTTCTCTGCTAATAGTGAATCTTCTTGAAAAACTGGAAGCCCAGGGCAACTACCAAAGCCACTCCACACAGAGATTCTGTCATGAAGAAGAATACATCTCAGCAGCAGCCTTCAGGGGCAGCTCTCTCTCTCCTAGGGGAGGCTCTTGATGGCACATCAGTGCAGGGCCCTGCCCAAGACTACACATCTGACACCGCCTAATGACCTGACCCTCTGAGATGGTCCTTGCTCCCGACCTCTGCACAGTTGGATCAAGATGAGTCTGTCCATATAGCTGAATCATGAAAATGTCCCAGTTGGTAGGTCCTGGGACAGGATATTAATCCAGGAGACATAGGTGTCCCTTTGTTGGGAACCTGGAATTCAGCCCAAAAAAGCTGTTCCCATCACTCTCCGGGTCTTAGCCTGCTACCCCAGGGATGAAGCTTCACAACACAGTCACATCTACACTGAGAAAGAAGAACCTAAATGCACAGTGAGAGGTGGAGACGAGGGGTGCTTGGAGGGGTCTCTGGGGCCCCCACATATCCACACACGGTCTGGAAGCAATGCAGAAGCCCAGCCACTACCCACTCTTAGCTGGCATTCCTGTTCCCTTATGGTAAATCCCCCTTTTAGGTTAAGGTAGTTGAACTCCTTGGAACCAAGTCTTTATTACTAAACAGTATGGAAATGACCCTTATTCTTAATATTCACCAGAGCATTTAATGTTTTTTACAGCTATAAGAATTGAGCTGGAGACTGAATCCAAACCACCCCTGCAGCAGCACCCCCGCTCATGTTGTAACAGTTCTCAGGGAATCAGTCTGTTTGGCCAAGAAAAGAGAAAAGTCAGCCAGACTCAGTCACCGTCTCCTCAGCCCTTTCTCTTACCAAGTCCTGGATTCTCCTCTGATGCTCCTCACCTCCCTGCACAGCTGAAGTCACAGTGAGACAGTGGGACGCAGGCCTGCCATCCGTGGGGATCTGCCCACACCCTCCCTCATGACAGGAGGGAGGAAAGAATTCCCTGTCCCACTTGTTCTTGCTACAACTGAAGACAGACCCCAGCCCTTTTCCCAGCTAAGGGTAGGGGTGTGTCTCAGGTGACTTCCACTGAGCGTTATCTGGCTCCATCACAGTGGCCTGAATTCATGGCCAATTCATGTATTTGCATGAATTGCTTTACACACACCAGCCAGGCCTTAGGAGCACAGCTACCTGGAGGAGGGGTGGGGACCACCCACATGAGATGAAGAGGACGGGAAAGCAGCAGGGCCCTCATCCCACACCAAGTCTGAGCACCACGGAGCTGCACCATCCATACCATAGCCACTAGCCACAGACAGCTATCTAATTTTATATTTAAATTAGGTAAAATTAAATAACATTGAAGACTCAGTCTGTTGGTTGTACTACCCATGTTTCAAATGGTGAATGGCCACATGTGGCTGGTGGGACCATTGGACAGACAGAATATTCCTGCCATGGCAGAAGGTTCTGTGACCCAGGGCTGCTGCT